AGAGCTTCAGACGAGCTTTAAGATCATATATTGTGGTTAAAATGTCAATGGTTTGAAATGAGATTGCGCGATGACCGGTAGGGGAAGAGAGGTCATACAAAGTTTTTCGTGGAGCGTTTTTGTCAACTTAGAGTTTATGCTTGGTATTTCGGACACAAAGGCCGCCATTTTCTTTTTTTGCCCAAAGTCTCTCTTTGTGCTTTCTTTTTCTTTTGTCTTTCAACGTTTTTTACTAAGTTTAAAGTGCACTTTTTCAACCGACAGTCCATTTTTCCGCTTAAAGTTATCAATAAATTTTTTTCCCTACAGTAAAGTACCAGATAGTGACAGTAAATTTGTCAATGGTCCCTAATTAAGGAGGGGTTTAAAAAATCTGTATTTTTTCAATACACTGCCCGGCGAATAGTAGGAATAAGCTATTTCAAGTTACTGTCATTATCTGGTACTTTACTGTATTTCGGAATATTCATCAAGTAATCACGCCATCTAGAGTACCCCTTGAAATGAAAACCTTCTGCGTTCTTGAGTACCATGTAACCAGAAATTGTGCAGAGGTGATAAGAAGATTTAATCAACAGTGGCCCGGTGTTAATCCACCCGATCCAAAAACGGTGAAATCACTTCATGATAAATTTCTGGCCAATGGATCAGTCAACGATGATTTTGTTGGAAAGGCTGGACGCCCTGTGACAGCAACTACACCAAAAAATATTGAGAAGGTTCGTGTCTGGTTTAGAAACCACGAAAAAGGTTCTCTGCGTGCTCGTGCAGCTGCTACTGGCATCAATTTGTACTCGGTCTGGCAGATCCTTCACGAAAATCTCAACTTCAAAGCATACCGGGCGTTTTTTTTCATTTTAAACTTTCATGCAGGCATAACTCACGAACGGTTAGTGCTACAGACTTCAGACTTGAACCATGAGCTTATCTAGATTGCACAACGATTAGTTCAAGTGCTCAAGGTTATTAAAGGTCAATTCTTCATTTGACCTCTAATTTATATTGAAAGGTCATTTTCTGAAATCGCAAACATTTTCTGACCAGATATTCTTAGTTACATGTTCATAACTCATACTGGCTAAAGGATATGGGTGATCCCGCATCATTCAGTTGATCAGGAAAAATTCATTCCATCTTTCCAATGGTATATATAATGAACGTGTAACTAACACTATCGGGTCCCTATAAGTGAGAGGGATGGAATGAATGGCTACTGGTGGCAACAGGAGGGAGCTACAGCACATCGAACGATTTTGGTCTAAAATGCCATCAGAGAAAAATTTTGAGATCGAGTTATCGGACTTGGCCTCGAATCTGAAGGCGCTCAAGAGATCAAGTGGCCACCTCGAAGCCCTGACTTAAATCCTTATGATTTTGCTGTTTGTGGGATACTCAAGGAGCATGTTTATAAATCAGCTCCTAAAAACAAAAATAAACTCGTAGCGGCCATAAGAAAAGCGACGGAAACTTTGTCTCATGAACTGTGTAAAGACATATTTTGCACTTTGCAAATCGGCTTGATATGCTGCATAACGCTGAAGGCCAAAATTTTGAAAATGTTCTACCCTAATAAAGCAATCATTCAGCTTTCGAATGAAATGAAAAAATTCCGCTCCGTTCAAATTCTACGTAAGTTTAAACGTCGGCAGTCAATTTTCTAACACCCTGTATTTTAAACACTTGCAAATATTCGAATGAGTATTCAAATGTAAATATTCGCAAAACTATCAGCCCTACCCCATGCATTTTCAACGTTATTTCATGATATCTCGAAAACTAAAAATTATTTTGAAAAATGGATTAAAGAAATGAATTCAGCATGGTTTACAAGTTTTACATTATAGATGTTCATCACAAGAAAATTTGTTTTTAGGCAGTTTTGCCCTTCCTCCTTTACCTTTTAAATCTCAAAAACGAAAGGAAAGCAATGAAATTGCCAATTTCTAGAACAGAAGTGGCTACGTAAAATTTATCATAAGAAAGCATAACTTGAGACAATAAAATGTATCGTATTGTAAATTCCAATAAATCCAGAAATTTAAATTAAAGCCAATCCATCAATTAGTCCCAAAACAAATTCAGAATTAATTGTAAACATTTTCTTCTCAAAAACTCTCTACAAAGAATATTACATATTACCTTGAAGGTAACCAACCTGACAAGTCGACTGACATGAAAAGAAGAAATGTTTACTTTTCCATAAATACAATGAATTTACATTATGTAATGATAATTTTAATGAAGAAGCAAAAAGAGGTAAAAGGAAGAAAATGCGAAAGCAATTGCAAAATAAACGAGTCTCGAGATGAATGGTAAGATTACGAAGGCAATCTAACTTTTGCCTCTTCAGGTTGACAGAAATAACAGAAATGCTTTCATCTCCAATGAAAATGATGGTCAATCATGATATGGTCAGAGGAAAAAGAGAAATAAAAATGTTGAGAACCTTTTTATAACCCAACTTTCATCCAAACATTTTTACTCCTTTCCTCATCACTCTAATCATTATCACCATCATCATCATTATATTATCTTTGGCTTCTTTTTTTCCGCCTCACTTCATCATCTTCGATCCAACTCCAAGTTGAGTATAAAATCTGTCTTCAAATTTTGCGCACTCGCAACTAGGAATCTGTTGACTGTAAAATCGCACAAATGAACTCCAAACAGTAGCACACAGTCAGACAAGTTGACTTTTTTTTGATAGCAAAGTTTCAGTTCTCTTGTGAATCAACACTTAATTTCAACTTGCAAATTTGCCTTAAAAGTTTTACACTCTTACAACTGAATAACATTAACTCGAAACAATACAAAATCTGTTTTTTGTCATTTAATTTACAATCGGAATGAATTACTTTCCATTAATTTTTTGCTTCATTTCTCATTGCAACTAAAGATTGTGTTTTTCGTGTAAATTTGTGTCCTTTGACTACACTTGGATATATCAAGTTGCACATTTGGAGTAAATTTCAATTCAAAGTTTCAGTGCCAATTAATCTCATCAATTTGCTAATCAAATTGATGTGCAAGTTTTACCGTGTTTTACGCTGGTCCAGTCGTCGTTGTAACCTGCCATTATGAGCATTGACACTGAAGATGTACTTCGTCAATCATGCCTCAACAAGCACTCTGATAAGCTGGATAATGTCACTTTTGGTAAGTAATTTGGGTTCCTTTGATTCACCTACTTCTCTTTGCCATAACATTTATCATTTGTGACCAAGAAAATGATGCCACTTGAGTATAAACATCAATCAATTTCCTTGCCATTGATGCACACCCCTTAAACGTTTCTTGTACAGTGGGCCAAAACGCGTATTGATGAAAAAAAATGTCTCTCAATACTTTGCCTAAATTGATTGATGAAAATGAAAACAGTTTCTGTTTTTGCCTTCTTTTCAATCTTATTTTCTGTTGACAACAAGTATCAATCTTCTAGAAGTCTTGAATCAATAAATGACCAATAAAATGTATTTTCATAATGAATAAATCAGCTATAATGAGATTTGTGTGAAACATTAGACTAATCAGTAAGGAGAAAAGCATGTCAATCAAGATTTGATCAACCTTGGAATCAAATTGTGACTTATTGGCATAATAATCTTTCCTTTTTTATTCATCAATACAGAGCAAAAAAATATTCACTTCTAATGATATTTATTATTATTACCAATGAATAAAACAATTCGAGGCTGACTAGTGATTACAATGTTGCACATTGATTTTTAATTTAATGTGACACAATATAAATATGATATTCATTTCAAATGAGATTCTTCCCTGCATCGATATTGATTTAGAATTTGAAAATTTCGATAACCAATGAAGAATCAAAATGAAAGTGTTTCAAAATCAGGAATTCAAATCAAGATGACCAAGAAAAAAGTTAATCTCATGTAAAGAATTTTTAATTTTTTTGAAAAAACTTGTAAATTTTGTTGAACCAACTCTGAGAAACGGCTGCTTAAGTCAAGTTTAAGGTGAAGTTGAGTTGTCCTTAAGAGTATCGATGTAAACCCATTAAGTATCGAGATGTATAATGAGTATAACCAAAGTGTGAACTCATAAAGGGAATGATTCCCAGTGACTCTGGAAGCAACTGAAAGTTGATATTTTTTCTCATTTCTGTTATTCTTGGTATTCTTGATATGCTATGACAAGTTAACCAAATTACTTGTTTTTTTTCCTGACATTGAGTTTTAACTACTGGCAAATTATCGAACTTTTACTCGAAAAAATCGGTGAAAAACAAATAAAGCTTCCTTAACGCTCCAAAAATCAAGTCATTTAAATCCATGGATGACTTTCCCATGCGAGCTTTGATGAATTGAAACTCAACTTGATAATTAACAGATTAACAGATTAACCCAACTGACTTAACAGCACGAGTTAATTTCACAGTTTGATTATCAGGTTATTGTGACAAAAACAATGAGCTCAGTATGACGTAGTTGCCCATCAAAGTGACTCAGCTTTTAGTCAAAATTTATTCAATTAAAGTGAAGAGTAAAATTTTCAGCGTTTTTGGTGAACATCAAGTGTATAATTAACGCTGATTAATCCCATGAAGCCATCGATGAGGCAAAAAAGAGACTTAAATTGTCAAACTAAACATCAATCTTGGTAATTGAAATTTTCATTAGCAATCAATTTCCACTCAACTCATCAAAAGATAATTACATTTGGCAAGTTTACATTGCATACTGATAACTTGAATGCAACTTGAGGCTAAATAATGTTATGAAATGTTATCTACTGAATGAAACAGAAATATTGATATAATAGAAATGAGAAAAGGTGCAAACAAAAGGAGGGAATCGAGAAGTTTCAACATGGTAAAGAGAATCAGATTCATCAGAATTCAGGATTGGATTGAAAAATGGTGAGTAAAGATTGATACAAGGAAAGACAGGGAAAAAATGGTTCAATTGAATATAAAGCATTATTAATACATTATTTAACACCAATTGAATTGAAAACATTTTTTTGTTCAATCTTGTAGTTGAAAGTGAAAAGCCATCAAATTTTGGCCAATCATTTTAACATCATGATAATGTTTTGACAAGAATGAAACAATTTATCATGAAAAGTTGCCTTCAGTTATCACCTTGTAAAGATGAAAGATTGAGAAGAAACGTTTCAATTTGATTGATTATATTGATGAGTATTGAACAATTTAAATTGTAAAAACATGAAACTGTCAATGGACTCGGTTTGGGGAAACATTTCCACAATTTTGACAAATTTCAAAATTGAAAAGGCTTTAAATTGTAAATTGAATCAACAATTTCGACAACTTTAATTGACTTTATTCTCGAACTCTTGAATCGTAATTACTTTTTTTACGTTTTTACCATTTTCTTGCAACCTTTCAAGATGTTGAATGAAACACAATAATAATGATATAAAGTAAATATGTATTTATAAATAGCATTTGAAATTGTCTGTTTAAGATCAACATGTCACTTAATCAGTCAACTTAGTAAATTGTTTATACCCTTAAAACATGTTAATTTAGTTTTCATTCAATGGCATTCATTTCTCATTGCAATTGATCAAAGTGTTAACGTTAATGAATTTACTTGATGCTAATCAGGTTGACAACAAGTTTTTTTTCTTCTTGCTCAGGCCAAACTTGTCAGGAGTCTTGTCTAACAATTTAGTCTAATTGTAAATGAATTGAGCAAATTGTAGAGAAGATTTTGACGAGTCTTGAGAATACAAAGTGTAAATACAATGCCATGTAATAGATGAAATTGTTAGTCAAATTGAATGATAAATCAACTTATTTTTGGCTATCAAGTTGAACCGCACAATGTTAATTTTATTGGGATATTTTTGTTTGTTTAACAATTACGCGAATTGACGATTAATGTAGACAAAGTGAGTGTCAAGTTTAATTTGATTATTTCGAGAGAGTTGAACATTTACAAAGAAAGTCGAGAAATAATCAAATTTTTAATTAAGCAAAATTCCTATCCAAAGCATTCCAATGATCGCAAACATGATGAAAATCAAATTAACAATGATTTTTTTATTTGATCAAAGTATTGATTTAAATAAAGGTAACTTTTAAGGATTTTTTGGCTGGATGAGCCTCTTTTGGAAGAGATATTTTAGTTTGAGGCCTGCATTACCACCGAAATCAAGCTTGATTTTGAGATCAGATTAATTGATTAAGTTCGTTTTTTCACAAATCAAGATCAAGAGTTTATCACAGTGATGTTCCGATCCGACTTTAAGATCGATCTTATCGATTTTTCTCATCCGAAAATGGATCGATCTCAACCCAGGAAGAATCTCTTTAAAAACTTGTGCATTGAAGCCAGAAGGCAATTTTGTAGATCTGATGATACTTTTTGTGTTGCAAATTTCAAGGATAAGTGTTTTCTGTCAATTTTTCTGATTAATTTTGTTTTTAAAAATCGAAAATCGATCGGTTACTGAGGAAAATTGATTAGAAAAATCGATTCCTGTCAAAATCGGAAATCGAACATCCCTAGTCCTGCATCAAGACTAATCGAGAGTCAGTCTGATCTTAGGATCGATTTTTTTATACTTCCTCTTCACTTTCTAGATCGTCTGAAACCACGAGGTCCAATCAAAAAGTTCATTGTCGAACAGGCATTCAAGGTAACGATGATCGACAGAGATCGCATGACCTAAAATTTATTTGAACTTGCGAGCAACTATAATTTCCTTCATCACTGGTAGATGAGTAACAAATAACGCATTCAATTCCCACTAATGAATGTTTTTAAAGCAATATCAAGGACATGAAAACCATTCCCAATACCCAAGGATAATAATGTAATATTGGAATCCGTGTGTAGCATGTCATGGCCATTATAGCTACTATTTAATATAAATAATAAATCAAACCTGGTTTCCATTAAGTCTAAATGGTCTCTGTAAAAAACAAAAAAGTCATGACCTTTCCTTTCATTTTCCGGATAAAATGAATTTTTTGTCCAATACTTTGCAAATTCTGTATTCCATTTCAATTAACTCTCAAGTTTAACCCAAAAAATTCATTAACTTACAGATAATAGAATAAAAAGTTACAATATTTTGACGGTTAACCTGAACAATTGATGAAATTGGCTGAAGCGTCAATCTCAGTAATTCAAAGTCGATAGTCTGATTTTGTAAACTTTTTCTGTTGCCTTTCACCATTTTGTTGTCACTTTTACGTCAATCAAATCTGCTTTAATCTGATTCAATTAGATTTCTTGAACTTTCTGATGAAAACAAGCAAAGCCAAAATTGTGTCGTCAGTCTTTATGTTCATGAAAAACTCTTTTTTCAGCTACTAAAGCAAACTTGACTGGTCCCTTCGATGTTATCAAAGCTGCAAACCAAGACCATGATAATGATGATGTTGAATCCATTGGAAAAGAGATAAGACTGAATGTGAGTTGAAGAAGAAGATAAATGTAAAACTGATCCATTGGAAATAATCTGGTTCAAGATTTGTTGTGTTGTCCAGTGTCAATCAAAGATTCAAAGATTACCATGTCCATTCTCACTAGGCTAATAAGTTGTAATACAACAGCGAAAGAAGGACAAGCATCAATAATATAAGTTGATTATCAGATAACAAGTTCCAACCGCCTTTTTCCTCTTCTTCCTTTTCTCTTCTTCTTTTCACAAATTCATGTAATCAATTGAAATGTTGAAACCTTTTTCCTTTTGTTTCCTCCTCACAACCTCAAGATCAACATTTTCATTTCACAAAGTTTTAGTCTTTTCTCATTTCATGCCACCATTTACCCTTTCCTTTTCATGAATTCAATCTAAATTACAAGTAATGTCTTGTTTCACTGAAATTGAATGTTGAATGTTGGTAAATGATGATTACCCTGGGAATATCACAATGGCAGACAGAAAATGGCAAGAGAATGCAAAAAAGGAAGAAAAGGAAAAAAGTTGAAAATTTTGAAAATGGAAACAAAAAATTTGCTTATTTGTCTGAATTTTGACTGACACAGTTTATCCAACTGAAACAATGTAAGATTTTTGCTCTTCTTGTTACAAAAGAGTATCATGATTAAGATAATGTATTTATTCAGCATCTTTTAAGCCAAGAATAACAATGGTGCAAAGTCAAGCTGTGATCAATTGAAGCGTTCATTTGACTAATGACGTTCAATTTC